GAACAATGCTGAAGGTCCTATCCTCTGCAGACATCTAGAGCAGTCTTTTTCAACCAGGGTGCCTTCCGATCTTTTTAGAGGTGCCTTGGCAAAATGGCTAAAAATTGGCCAAAAACTGTATAAAAGCCAGCAGGTGGATCAAGCCTGCCTTCAACTTACACAAATCTAATGCATAACAACCAATGATCATCAGTTGATAAGAAGGACATCGGGCACCTGCACAGCATCCTTGCTTGCCCCTCTCTGTCAGCATCGGGGTCACTTTAGCTGAGTGAGAGAGAGAAACCGATGGAGAAAGAAAAACAATGGAATACTAGTCAGTACCAGTGTGCAAGGGTGTATTTGCTTTGGAAGAATAAATCACCTCAAACAATGGGTATCCTACATGTGCAGGTGTTACTTCATTCTGTAAACTATTCATTTTAGTTTTTTATATTTTGTAAAGGGCACCTCAAGATTGTGCAGAATTTTAAAGGGTGCCCCGACTGAAAAAAAGCTAAACACTGATCTAAAGACGTATTGCAACATATCAAGCGTTGGTAGCCTTAGGTCATTGAGTAGCATTGTAGAGCTCAGGATCTTTGATCCCTTCCTTATGTGTAGCAGATCTCCCTCCCCCCTTGTTTTGGGGTTGTTAAGGATCCCCTGTTACCATGGTTTCTCCTTATTATGAGACCTCTCAGTCCTTTTTTGGCTTCCCCTGTGCTAGGGATTTGGAAATCTAGGCAATACAACAAAATGGTCTCTTTGAACTGAGATGTCTCAGAGGCTCCTCATTGATCTCTGAGGAATGGAATCACCCAACACCAACCCCCCCACCCTTCCCACTCGAGGAGGATCTATTTAATTTGTGTATTTGTCTGACAGTTGAATCTCATGTTCTGAAACTCTGTTCCCAAGTTGTCAGGGGGATCCCTCTGTAGGTCATTCTTCTAATTGGACCTCCACTGGACATCACCTGAATTTTGCAGTGCCTTCACCTTAGGAAAATTTCAGGAACTCCCTACAACAAGTTGGCTGAGCTGTGCTGGACAGTGATATGTGTATCATTCATGGCCACTTTGTATGTCCTAGACCTAGTGGGGTTGATTTACTAAAGCCAAATAGACTGTGCACTCCAGATGCACTTTGGAAGTGCACTGGAAGTGCAGTTGCTCTAGATCTGAGGGGAACATGCAAGGAAAAAAAAAAAAAAAAAAAACATAGCATTTTTGCTTGCACATGATTTGATGAAAGAATTCAGCAGAGCTTCGCTTCATTTCAGAGCTTCCCCTCAGATCTAAAGCAACTGCGCTTGCAGGTGTACTAGTGGCAGTGCACAGCCTATTTGTCTTTAGTGAATCAACCCCAATGTATTGCCTTAGGGGTCCCCACATTGAAGAGGGTGGTACTTGAATGACCCTTTCTTCCTCCGTGGACAGGTTTTCATCACTGTTGGGCCCTGTATTCCCATGGACAATCAGCAGACAGAGCATGCTGGGACCTTGCTGCTGATTCATCACAAGATTGATAATGAAAGTATGGACTTTTGTGGTAAATAATCACTGTTCGATTCATTCTGTGATGAAACAGCAGACTTCTAGGAAGGTCGCCTTAGATTTCCTCCTTTCTAATATACTCTGTCAGGAGAATGTTCCTAATAATGGCACTAGGATTCCTACCTCTTGGAGGTCTCCTCGATGGAGAATGCTGTTCTTTGCAGGGGTTGGTTGGATAATTCCTCAATTGTATAATTGGTAGTGGTTCGGCAGGTTGCAGTGTGACTATCATACCCCAGGACTACTTACACACCAGTCTGGGTTACTCTATACCTTATCTCTGTGTCTGCTATTTTATGCTGGTTTTGTTCAGTTTCCACTCTAAATTTGTTACTATCCTAAAAGTTTTTTCCCTTCTATCCATTTGGATTTTATGCATGGCTTTCTCAATATTGGATATCTCAAACGGTAACCAGTGGTGTAGTTTGGTTGTGTGCTGCCCTAGGCAAGAGTAAAATCGTGCCCCCCCCGACATCTTCCTTCTGCACTAATCTCTGACAATCCGGGAATGAGAGTCGGACACCCTTCAACAGACCGCACTGCGGTGCCTCACCTGTTCCCCATCCTCCATCACCGGCTGCCACATGTGTCACGTGAAAAATGCCTCCCTAGGCAAACGCCTTGTTTGCCTCATGGTAAATACGCCCCTGATGGTAACATCCTTCCTTAAAATGGACCTCCTTTTTTCCTGAAGTTGCCTGCTAGTGTTATGAATATATATATATAGGGTGCGGCGCTCAAGCAATAATCAATACATCAAAGATATAAATAAAACATGAATTATATAAAATACATAAAGTGACTTGTGACAAGGTGCCAACATATAAAGTGACTTCAGTGATATCATGTATTCCGTCACTGTAGGAGTGACTCGTGGTGAACAATGATGATGGAATAGATAGTCCAAATGTGAGTATGGGAGATCGGAATATCTCCAGCAATAGGTGCTTCGTTCAAACCAGATGGTGAGGTGACCGATATATATGATAAGGCTGTGCACTTACCAGATGCACAGTTAATCTGCACATGTAGAGACCAGGCTCTTGTAGGGCACGCTCCAGGCTCCCGTACAAATATGGTCTGGCCAGGTGTTCCCCTCACTACTCTCATCTGCTGGCAATATGGCTTCACTTCCTCAACAGAATGGCTCTGTGGGTTGTTGATGACTCACAAAGACCCCAGAAAAGAGGAGGCCAATAGTGTGATACCGTTTAAGCATATACACTTTTATTCCATTCATAGGCAGTAGTACAGGGAAAAAGATACAGTTGCACTGACCGTGTGATGATGAACAAGATGTCTGCCGGGACCCACGTGGTGGTGGCGGCAGCGTAATGTCACAACGCTGTAGTTCCTCTGACGCGTTTTGTGCTAACCGCACATAATCATAGGGAGTGTGCTTCAGCGTGTGACTGTTAACAGCGTCTATTTATACTAAAATTGGTGCATGCGTGTTAGCGTACGCGCCATTTTGTAAGCCGGATATGTCTTCATATTCGGCGCCATTTTATCGAAGTTCAGCGCAATAGCGCATGTGCGAGCACCATATTGTAGACCGAAATTTCTGTGCATGTGCGAGCGCAATTTTGTCCAACCCGACCGCACATGCGCGAGCGCCTAGTGTTATATTTAAGCTTCCTGCTGTTAACCATCTGATCTTTCCTTTGGACATGCTAGTGTCCAAACTTCCCTTCCCTGAGGTCAAGGGTTAGCTATACTAGACTTAGGCTGGTCATACACTATACAATTTTCTGCCCAATTTTGCTTAGATTTACCTTCAACTATGTAGTGCAAGGACCTGCCTAATTGGATACAATTGAAAGTGCTGTTTAGGTTTGACCTTGTATTATATGGTTTTTGGTAAATCTAAAGTAAAATTTACAAGAAAATTGTATAATGTATGGCCAGCCTTAAAGTATAACTAAAGGCAAAACCTTTTTTTTTTTTTTGATAGTTTTGGATACAGATTAAAAAGTTTGTCTTTATTTATTGCTCTCTGTGCTCTAATTAAGGAGATTCACCCTCTATTTGTCCTGTTTACCATTATAGTTGAAAGTAAAAAAACAAACTAATTTTTGGATTGTTCCCAGAAAGGTAATAGAGGGGAAATCTCTCAATGGGGACAGTAGTTCTGATGCCCTTCGTGTCCCCAAGAGAGTCCCTTAATTTTCAGGGATTTCCTCTCCCTTCCTGTTTTGGTTATGGGACAGGAAGTGAAGGAAAATTATTATTATTATTATTATACAGGATTTATATAGCGCCAACAGTTTGCTCAGTACTTTACAATATAAGGGAGACAGTACAATTACAATACATTTCAGTACAGAAGGAATGTGAGGGCCCTGCTCGTGGAGCTTACAATGTAAAGGAAGGGAAAATCTCTGCAATGGGACAAGGCTGGCCAAAACAAAAAACCTGACAGGGGTTATAACCCCCCCTCCCCCTTGCACTATCCAAAAATAAAAAAAAAGTTTTGCCTATAGTTGTACTTTAAGTTTTTTTGTTTTGTTTTTTTTTTTTTCTGAAGTTGACTGAATGGTCTTTCTATTGGACATGGTATGTCTGTTCAAACTTTCTCTTAGTGATCTGTTTTTATTCTGGGACTTGGCTTAGCAAATATTTTCTTCTTGGTGACCATGTTAGTTGTTGATGTGTGTTTTGTTGTGTTGGTCTTTTTTTTCCTCCCACTTGGGTAGTGTGTTTTTTTTCTGCCTGTTTTTTGATGGATGGTTGATTTGGCTATCCAGTTTTGCTGGGTTAGACTCCTCATATCATCAGGTAGCAATTCTGTCTAGTGGTGATCATCTCATCTCTCCAACTCTGCAGCACTAGGTTGATTCTCGGTGCACTCCCATTGTTTGTTGGCAACTTGCATGTATTGCCTTATCCTCTCATTATCTAGCATCTATTTAGGTGTTGATTTTTTCAGATGCTGTTTAATAGAATGATTCCCACATCTGTTGGACCTCTTGGTGGCTGTTGCCCACCCCTCAGTTAGTTGGACTGCTTTTGGACATCCAGATTGTTTAAGAATTTGTGATTTCCTCTGCCCCCCCCATGTACAATCAAGAACATAAGATGTTTGTACTTACCTTAAAGTCTTTTTCTTGAAGTCCATTGATAGAAAACTTTCCCTTTCCTTTGTGCTATTAGCACTACATACAGCCTGCCCAAAAAACTGAGGCATGATGGTTAGAGGCCGGGTTATACACGGCCTGGCTTCAATGTATATGATTGCCAGTGTCCCATTTTATTGTAGGCATCAGTATAATTCAGTTCATTAAGAAGTCCTGAAGTCCTGAATTCCAGTGTCCCTCTGTGGACTTAGAGGAAAATATTTTTTGGCTAGTACAAAATTTTTTTTTATTTTTTATTTTTTATTTGTCTTGTATGTCAGTCTTATTAGGATTCATATCGTACTATTGAAGCTTATTCTTTTTCTTTACAGCTGTCAAACGACTTATGAAAGAAGCTGCAGAATTGAAGGATGCTACAGATCATTACCATGCTCAACCACTAGAGGTACAGTATCATACTTTGCCTTTTTAGCATTTTAACACAGCATATCAGTGTGCAACACAATGGGGTTGATTTACTCAAACTGGAGAGTGCAAAATCTGGTGTAGCTGTGCATGGTAGCTAGTCAACTTCTAACTTTAGCTTCAATTAAGCTCTGACAATACAACCTGGAAGCTGATTGGTTTCTATGCAGAGCTGCACCAGATTTTGCACTCTCTAGTTTTAGTAAATCAACCCCATTGTGCACATACTATGTAAAAGCTAGTTTGTTTCACAACAAGATGGTAAAACCATACCGGTTGTGCTAAAAAAGGGGATTAAAGCAAATTAAAGATTAAATATAAAAGCTACTTAAATTTTCACAGTAATTGTTTATAACAAAACCAAGACATCAGTTGGTTAATAATTCCAAATTGGCAAAAAGAAATGTATTGCTTATTCTCTTCAGCCAATATAGATATGTGCACTGGGAAAACATGAATGAATCAAAATTGCATCATACGACTAAGCTGTCATTATATGTCATTGTACATTCTGGCATTGTCAGGGGAAAAGCACTGCCGTGGGTGGTTATTGTGCATGTGCCAGAGACAAAGTGAAATTGCTAGAACATAAATAGCCTCTTAGTATGCCTTTGCAAGAATCTTGGACTGAACTGTTATTGCTATACTGTCCAAAATATATACTTACATTTACATCTTGGTTTCACAAATCAGAAACAAAGCAATGAAAATGATTTGCTGATCTCCAGCTTGTGATCTTAAAAGCTGACTATGTTTTTCCAAATAAAATTTAGCAGAAGATCCCTGCTTGGGCAGCAGCAGTGAGTGACTTGTTGCACATGAAGGACCAGTTAGCAGTGGACACTGATCAAATGGAACCTTTTGTTCTGGTCAGGGTGGTCCCTATTCTGTACCTCCAGATATTGTCAAGGTTTGCTGTCCATCTAAATCCCTTGATTTTACATGAGTGAGATGACCTTGCCTGTAAGCCAATCCTGACTTACCTACAGGTCTAAGTGGGACTATACCACCCAACAGGTATCCATAGAGAGCACAGTCACCTACAGTATACTTTAAGGAAGCCTAACATTATTTCCCTCTGGCTACCTGTGTACCAATGTAGTGACCTTGCCATGGTACTTGGAGCTTGCCAACTCTGCCTCCTTCCTTCACCCCTTCCCTACTTGTCTCTGAATTTTGCTTTTACCACATTAATAGAGCAAAATGTTTTGGTCACATTTCACTTAAATTATAAGTAAAGGCAAACCTTTTTTTCCCCCCATTTTGGATAGAGTGCAGAGGGGTTAGAACCCATGTCAGGTTTTTATTGCTTTCCGTGTCAATGTTAGGGAGATTCACCTTCTCTATTTGTACCATTTACTAGGGATGCACCGAAACGTTTCGTGTCGGCCGATATTAAAAAAAAGCACTGATACAGGTGCCGAAAAAGCCCACCCCTTGCCGCCGGCCGCCTGCTGCTGCCACCAGCCGCCGCTTGGTGGTTCTCAGCCTTACCTGAGAAACCGTCGAATGATCCCGGTGCTGGGCATAGAGATTAGTGAAGGAAAGATGGCCTCCACTCATCTCTATGCCCTTGAAGGACCAGAGCAATGTCACTTCCGGTTCTTGCCATTTTTTTTTTTTAAACACTAGATCAATGCTTTTTTTGATCTAATGCTTTACATTGCAGAGGAGAGATGTGGGGTCCTGTTGACCCCATATCTCTCCATAAAGAGGACCTGTCACTAATTATTTCTATCACAAGGGATGCATGCATTTCTTGTGATTAAGAATAAAAGTGATTACAATTTTTTTTAAAGGGATCGTCCAAAAAACAAAAACAAAAAGCCATTAAATACATAATAATCCAAAAAAGTTTAAAGTGCCCCCGTCCCCCCTGCTCACACACGTAGTGATGAACACATACGTAGCCCATGCCCACATATATAAACGGTGTTCAAACCACACACGTGAGGTATCGCCACGACCATCAGAGCAAGAGCAATAATTCTCACACTAGACCTCCTCTGTAACTTCACACTGCTAACCTGTAGAAATTTTTAAAGTATCATCCTTGGAGATTTTTAAGTACCGCAGTTTCACGCCATTCCACAAGCGTGTGCATTTTAAATCGTGACATGTTGGGTATCTATTTACTCGCCGTGACATCCTCTTTCATATTTTACAATTTGGGTATATATTGGTTTTTTATTGTTTTTTTTAATCGTGTATTTTTTTCCAAAAAATATGTATTAATTTTTAAAACCTGTGCATTTCGGTTTCGGTTTTCGGCCAAATGCATTTTGACTTTTCGTTTTCAGTTTCGGCACCGAATTTTCATTTCGGTGCACCACTACCATTTACCATTATAATTGAAAGTGAAATAAAGTCCCACATTTTTGGTTTTCCAACAGAAAACTAATAGTGGGGGAAATCTTCCAATGGGGACACTAGTTTTGGTGCCTTGGGGGCCCCCAACGGATTTCCTTACTTTGGAGGGATTTCCTCTCACTTCCTGTTTTGGTTATGGGACAGGAAGTGAAGGTAAACCTGCATGATGGGACAGAGTTGGCAAAAAAAAAAACTGATAAGTGTTATCTCACTCAATCCAAAATGGAAAAAATGCCTATAGTTCTATTTTAGGCGCTACCAGTGAGGTATTATGGGGGTAGATGTGACATGAATGTACAGATTTGAGTAGATAAGATGTGACCTATAGAGAATATGACAATGTAAATTTAGCTCATTCCTTGTTATATAAAGAAATATTCAGTCATAGGTCATCAATTAGCTAATCAATTAGCACCTGAAAAGCCTGGCTTCCTCTGGAAGTGGCACCTTGGTGCTAATAAGATTTTGTCACCTATACTTAATCAGACTTGGCCACCTTCCTGAGGCTGAAAAAAGAAAAACAGACATTTTGGCTACATGACAGCAGGGGCTCTCCGCTCTGCCTGGGGAGCTAAAAGAATATACGTACATCAACGGGGTATGTTTCATCTCTCATAAAAGCTAAAATATTAGTTGCAGAGAGATGAAAATACTCCCTTTTGTTTTGGCACGCTATGGGTCACACCAACATATAAAAATCATATTTGTGGTTTAGGTAGAAGGCCAAGAAAATGCAGGAAATGGTTAGGTGGCGCTGGATCGCAACAGTCGAACAGTGTTTGGTACTGTCGCGATCGGCTGATGTGCTGGTGGCGGAAATCCAATCTCCGACTTGGTGTTTCAAGCCGGTCTTGGTCTGAACTTGGGCAGGTCAGCACCCAGAACATCCTGTGGGCAGGTACAGGAACACCCCCCAGGGTCAATTGGCTCAGGACTAATGTCCCGCCTACATCCATATCCCCATAAATTGAGTACCCGGGCATTGGGACGTGGTAATTCATATGGAGCTGGTTCTATCGACCAATGGATTGCTGTTTCTCCCTGACTTGCTCCAGTCGCAGAATAGATCTTGGTAAAAGTTTTATCTCTGTTTTTTATTCCCTTTTATTTTATAGTGAATAGCCATTTGTGTGTCTTCTTGTATTTTTTGTATTTCTGTAACTTTTTATACTTTGTACATATTTTATGCACTGCCCACTTTCGGGATATTAAATCTTAAAATGAATTAGTGACTTCTGTGTATTTAGGCACGGGCTGATATCTTCTGAGAGATTAGAATGGAGAGATTAGATTGGATTAGATTAGATTGGATTGGATTTTAGTGCCTTTAAACACTCGGTCAAGTTCATTGCCAACCTGTATGCAATTGCACTGTGTGTGGGCAGATTGCATGCAGATTGTGTAAAAGGTAACAGATCTGCCAGACGGAGATTTGTGTGTGTGGGATGTCTCAGCAGACCGTTCTGCGATAAACTGCTGGGTGGTGGCAGGCTACCTTTTGTGGTGTGGGGGTGTGTGGACAGTGGAAGAGTGATTAACACCGGGGTTCAAGCTGTAGGATAGCTGGAGGGATCTTAGAAGGGTGTGTAATTACTAAACTGCTCCTCAACTCTAGTCAGTGCACAGATTGTATATATAATATTTATATCTGCCAGTGTGTGTGGTCAGCCCGCTGGATTGGAGTGGAGGCTCCCTCTGGTGGTGGCCAAGAGGTAGTGCGGGCTGTGAGAGGATATCATGGCTGATCTTATATACGGTTATATATATTCAAAGTTGGATCCCCTTTATTCCCTCTTACCCCAAGTCACGGCCACACGTGCGCGCTTCGGTTAGCTAATCGCTGTGGGCGTGACGTGTGGGGGACTCGTGACAGTAGTATACCTGGTTTACATATTAACGGCCTTAGGAACTGGTGATCCCAAATTACTAGCAGTAGTGAGCATCAACCTCTGATTTGTGGCACTGAAATTTCAGATTGTATATAGAACTTCATCTTTTTTTTTTTCCAGGATAATCTGTTTGAATGGCACTTTACTGTTCGGGGTCCTCCAGATTCAGATTTTGATGGTGGCATCTACCATGGCAGAATTGTTCTTCCTCCAGAGTATCCAATGAAACCCCCAAGTATCATTTTGTTAACGGTAATTTCATCTTTTTTTTTTTCCTCCCTAAGTTGGCTGAATTCAGGCTTTCCTTCTTGGATAGTTTTCTCACTTCATTTTATTTTTCCAGGCTAATGGTAGGTTTGAAGTTGGAAAGAAAATTTGCTTAAGTATTTCTGGTCATCACCCTGAAACATGGCAGCCTTCCTGGAGTAGTGAGTACATCTTTTTATCCATTTAAGGGGCACAAGACTGTCTAGTGACATCATTAGCGTTTTGCTTTCATGGTAAAATCCTCCTAAGGATTTTGACTGATGGGGAGTTAATTATATGACTTGAAATGTTTGCCTTTCCTGGAGATATTGCTGCTGAGAATTCCCTGCAGTACTATTCCTATTCAAGCATGTCCCCTCACAGACCTCCTGCCAGATATCCAAATTTCAGTGGTTGCAACAGTATATGATTTTTTTTATAAATAAAATATTCAAGTTGTGCAGCGCTACACTTACAAAATGCTTCCAGATGTAAAACCTGTATGTGAATACAAAATGCATGTGGGTCAGTGACCTCAAGATTATGACAATGCACCTCAAAACAATAGGTCAACATCTAATGCTTCATTTAAATCAGGTGTAGGCAACCTTTAAAAGGTGGAGATCTACCTGAACAACATGAAGAGGATCAAAGACCACCCTGGGGTTTGGTGGTGTTTTTTTTTTTTTTCTGAGAAATGAACTAGCAAGGCCTAACTAAACTGTAAGGAAAACTTAGAAAAATATAATAAAGCAAATGTCACTGTAAAAAAATATAGAATTAGCCTACCTTAACAGTGGACTGTGTCAGTCCGCAGGGCAGTGGATGGTGTCAGTAGTTTTTTTTTTTTTTTTTTACAACATTTAGGTTTTTTTTTTTCTTTTCTAGGAGCCTTGTTGGATCGTTGCTTTGGTGAAAGGGGGGCCCGGGCAGCAGAGAAAAGAGGAACAAAGACAAGAGTGGTGGGGGGAGGCATCTTCTGGAACTATTCCCCTGGATTTTCCTCCTGCAGCAGCTGAATACCAATGGGAGGAAGAGGAGGAGACAGCTGACTTTCAGCTTCTGCAGGAGGAAGATACAGGGAATTGTTGGAAGAAAGGTATTTTAAAAATCTGAATCCCCAGCAAGTAGCTGAGGACTCAGATTTTACCACTCCTCCCCACCCTAAGGCAGCTAGCAGTGTCTTCTGACCCTTTTTGTGGTGCTGACAGCCTGCACTTGGACATCCCTGGGCAGCAGAGAATAGCGGCGAATAGTAGGAAGGCAGCAGGAGGAACTTGGGGCACCTGTAGAGCAGGTGTTAAGAGGGGAAGAGCAGCCCTGTGCTAGATAGAGATACTCTATAGAAAAAATATTGGATTTGGTTGAAAGAGGGTATAAAAATGGTATCATAAATAAGAAAGAGAGATCGTTTTTGGTTCCCATAGCACCCTGTGTACCTGTGATTTATTATTTGCCATAGTCACAAGGATCCTATTAACCCATCGGGGAGGCCCAATATCAATGGGATTGACTCAGTAACATCAAGAGTAGGGAAATATATAGATCATTTTCTCCAGCTCCTAGTTGTGGGTACACCATCCTTCCTAAAGTTTACTACTCAGATCATCAATATTCTTGGAAATATTGAGTGGAAACTGTCATATGTTTTGGCAACAGCTGACATTACCTCTCTTTATGCCATCATTTCCCATCTTCACGGCAGGGAAGCAGTGGAATATTTCCTGATGGATGATAGTTCATTACCTAACCCTCAGATGGATTTTATTCTCTCCCTTCTAGACTTTGCCATGAGGCACAGTTATTTTTGGTTTCAAGATACTTATTTTTTGCAGAATAGAGGAGTGGCCATGGGAGAAAAATTTGCTCCCAGTATGTCCAACCTCTTTATGGCCAAATGGGAAAAAGAGGTCATTCATGGACAGAGTCACCCACAGTTAGTACTCTGGAAAAGGTACATTGACGATGTCTTCTTTGTATGGGAGGGAGAAATGGATACTAATGATGAGTTTGTTTCCACTCTCAATAGAAATGACAAAGGGACTTGATTTAAGGATTAGAGTGGAAGGTGACAAGTTAGTCACCTCTACCTTCTTAAAAAAAAAAAACTGATAGAAACAGTTTCATTGGGTTCAGAAGTTATCATCATCTCTCTTGGTTGAAGTCTGTGCCTAATAGCCAGTTTCTTAGGCTCAAAAGAAACTGTACTAATCCTACTGATTTCCAACTAGCAGCAGGTCCTTGGGCCAGAGGTTTCTTCTTCCTGTTCCACTGCACGCCTTGATTAGAATAGTGGAGGAGATTGTCTCCCTCCTCCCTATATAAAGGCGCTATGTCCTGACGCTGGCCACGCCCCTGAAGACGTCACCGATAACTAAACTCGTAGGGAGTAGCTAAAGCGCATGACGTCAGCATGTACTGGAACATGGTGGCCATTTTATGGGTTTGAAACTTATCATCCATCTTTTTGGTAACATGCAGTTTTATCAATTACTTTAATGTACTTTTTATATTATGGGGCAATAAATCTTTCTTAATTTACTACACTATGAGGATTTTTTTTTTTGTTTTTTGAATGGGTTTTTGTCCTCTGTGAGGATAAATCTTTTTTGCAGGTTTATTTTCTCTGTTAAATTTTTGGAGTTAAGGTTTGGAGCTCTACAAGTGTCTGGATCACAGCCAGTTTTTGGAATAATTCAACGGGTGTTTATCCATCTACCATTGGGGGCAAGTTTGATCCTTTGATGTCATAAAGGGGTTTATTTACTAAAGCTGGAGAGTCCAAAATCAGACTCCCTTCTGCATAGAAACCAATCAACTTCCAGGTTTCATTGCCAAAGCTTCATTGAACAAGCTCAGGTTAGAAGCTGATTGGTTTCTATGCAGAAGGGAGTCTGATTTTGGACTCTCCAGCTTTAGTAAATAAACCCCAAAGTGTCCAGGTCCATGGCATGTGTTTGGATTTTGCATTGCGCATTTTGACCCAACCTTAACCGGGGGTCAATAACATCTGGTAAGAGGCAGAATTTGAAGCATTCATGACAACATTGATGTCCCATTAAAGGGGCTTATTTTACATTATATATCCTTCACATGTGAATTGGACTTTTAATTTACCCCATGTATATGCACAAATTTTTTTGGTTATATGTAGCGCCGTACTTTTATGTTTTACTACTGTGATAACATTGCTGGCTCTGTGTTTTACTGCAGAGGGACGTGCACTCCTCTCCCCCTCTGCTTACCTGGAGATAGTGCCGGAGGAGCATCCTGAGTCACCTGGGGTATCAGAGGAGGTTGCAGGAGCCTGTGGAAGGGTGCCTGAAAAGATCCGGAACTACAGTACCTGCTCCAATGCCATTTTGGGCACACACCCTCCATATTAACAAGCTGGTGATTGGTTGTTAGGACCACCCTGTGTCCTAGCAACCAGTCACCTGCCAATTGAAGTTAACTTGGCCAGCTCCCATGCCCGCCCTTTGTCCTGAGCTGTGCTGCCTGCTGCTCTCCACTTTGCCATAAGGATGAGAGCAGCAGAGGCTGGGGGAAGGAGCGGCACCTAAGTGGCGAGGGTCAGCAAAGCAGGAACATTTTTGCGATCTACCTGTCGTCTGCCTGCAGTCAACAGGTATATCACAATCGATGGGTTGCTGACCCCCGATTTAAATCTTGACTGTAGCTATCCCGATCTCAGTATCGTGGTGGTAAATTGAATGCTATCATATGCTAATCTTTTTATTAAATTTGTAAGTATGTTTGGTGCTTCTTTTTGCAATAAAGATATCTTTAAACTGGGAGCATTAGATATCAATCTATTCTTTTGAGGTATGCTGCTGCTTATACTGCCATTTATCCCTGAAATCCATTAGGAAGGAAGGCGACAGAGTAATAGGTGGATTACCCATTAAGGGTGGAAGCGCAGGTGATCCCCTTTGCTGGCTATCATGTTACTTTCGTTTAGACCTCTTACAGTCTGGAGGTTGCTTTGAAGGTGGACAGACCTGCACGCATTTTATTTACGGTGGTGGTTTTTTGGAAGAGGGGTTGACAAGAACGCTGCAAAGTGGATATGCTTATATGCTTCACCATTTGCACAGTGAACCAGGAATACAATCATTTGCAGACTTTATTTGTACATTTTGATGTTTATGATAACTGTATAATTATTTTCATTTATAATGTTTATGTGAATGACATGCGTTTTTGTTTTTTTGGGGTTTTTTTTTTTTTTTGGGGGGGGGGGTAATTCAGATACTGGTTTTACACCTGGAGGCATTTTGTAGGTGTAACGCTGCACAATTTGAACTTATTTTTTTTTTTTTTTTCATTTTGCTGTGAGTCATACCCAGTGGATTTAGACTCCTACTGTATGAACACATTGTTTGTTTTTTTTTATATCTTATTTATCAAACTGGATTTGAAGTTTACAAATTTTGCCTGAAAATCGGCATTTGTGTAAACAACTCTGAAGAATAATGTAGGAAAATGTGTTAGTTATTATAAAATTGCTAATTATTGTTGTTGTTTGTTATAAAAATTATGGAACGTGTATGATGTGTGTGTGTGTGTGTTCACAGTAAGGTTTTGTAGTGACAAATATAATTTATATGTTATACAATATGAAGTCATACGAACAGTATACAGTATGTTTTAGAAAGCTAGTACCTAACAGATCACTGTTTTAATTTTTTTTTTTCTCTGGGTAGTCAGCACCATCCCCACACATTTTTCTCACTTTAGCTTAGGGTGCTTATCTGTCTCTGTCTTGAATATCTAAAACTTTCTGAAAAAAAGGGAATGCAAAAATGCTAAAAAAAAAAGCAGCAAAACTCACATTTTTAACGTGGCATTCTAAAGCTAACTCTACTGGGGTTTTTATAGCGTCCAGTGTGCATGAGGCCTATTAAGTGTAAGAGGTGTTACAATGTGAGTGCCTTTATCCGCACTAGCAAGGAAATTTCTTTGGAAAATACAGTTTCAGAAAGTATTCCTTGTTAAGAGTCTTACTCAGCAGTTTGTACTCCTGGTTCTTATTGTCCTTGGAGCCAGCACATGGAGAGGGAATTTTTTTTGTACTGCTAAATTAGAATTGCTAAGAAACTCACACTGACCCTGTTTTATTTGAAATCTTTCAGTACGAACGGCATTATTGGCTATAATTGGGTTCATGCCCACTAAAGGCGAAGGTGCCATAGGTTCTCTGGATTATACACCTGAAGAAAGAAAAGCACTTGCCAAAAAGTAAGTTTGTGTGTACTTGATGTGTTTTGTATAATGCCCTTTAGTGTGAGGAAACAAGGAATTTTTTCAGCTTCCAGTTTTGTTCAAGAAACCCTCCAGAAAAAAAATTAAAAATCTGCTGATTTACAAATAGCTCTCAACGTGGTGTATGTCACCTCCTAGATTGCTGCCCATTATTCAAAACTTATGCTTTAATTTCAGCTGGCCCATATAGTTTTGCAGTATCCATCAACCTGCTGCCGCAGGTCCTCCCAGTCGGGAATAATGGCCCATGTCTGGTAGTATAGCCATATGGCGACTAGACTATGGATCTGAGTTTATGCACACTTACAAACACTAAACTCAGATGTAAAGAGTAAAGTAACCCCTGTGAAGACCTCCTTTTTTTCATTATTACGTGCAGTACACAAACTGGCAACGCACCTCTTTATTGCAACAATGCTTCACTATAGCAAAGGCCTAGAAAGCTCCTGCTCTCAGTTTCGAAACAGTAAAACATCGCATGAACAATGTTATGGTTAATGAGAAATTAACATCTATACTGTCTGATTCCCATGACCAGTTTCTGCGAGTTTGGCAACCCTGGATCTCCTTTGCTCATCCTTTGTACTTTGGCCATACATTATTGACATTGATACTTTCAGATACATTATCCTCTGAGGCCACTTTCTCAGTCTCGTTCTTCTATCCTGAGGCCTCGTTTACGTCATGCGTGCAGAAAGACTGATGGAAACTGACGCACAGATTTCACTTGCAGTGACATTAGTTTACATCGGTCTTCCTGCGCACTTCAATGAATGTTGTACATGCTGCAGATTCCTGCGTAAATGACACTGGTGTTATGATGTGGGCAAGGCACAAAGAGAATGGTTGGTTCTGTTGTGCCTTGCAGAATGCATGCAGAGAGGCTGACGTCTCTGCACCATGGTGTGAGAGAGCCCTAATTATTCTTGCTCGCCCCTCCTTTTTTTTCCTTTTCCCCTGCATCTTTAATCCACTCCTACTCAACCTGGGAGGTCTTCTTATTCTTCTATTTCTTTGAATACTGACACCTCTTCAGTCCAGTGGCCAAGAATACACTGTAGCTCAGTGCATCTTCTCATACTTTTGAGGTTTGACTTTTTCCAGTTTCACTTTTGTTTTTTTGTGTTTTTTTTTTTTTTTTTTTATTTCTACTGACAGCTATGTTCTTCTCTTTAAGAACATCAGAACATCATTTTCATGCTGTGGATTAGTTTGACTATTGCAACAATTTACTTATTGTAATTCTCTCTCATCCTACTGTATTTTGGAACTCTACTTCGAGTTATGTTGCACACTCCAGCTTATTGTCTCAGTCAATTGGCTCTATATGTTTATGCTATCTGTTAATGAAAAACTTTGTAAAAGAAAGTACACTCTCAATGAGCACCAATAGTATAGCCTTTGCTAATCTTTTGGCACTCTGATTCCCCTACACAGCAGCTGTCCTGTTTGCTGCAGGCTCTATCCTTATCCAATCACAGAACCCTTTTCCAATCACAGAACTGATTGAGAAAATACAAAGCATTCTCTGAATGAACAAGTAAGAGGAAGGGCAGACAGTTGGCTTGTGTGTAGGATAGCTGCAAGTCTGCTGGTGTAGCACCGGAAGGAAGTAATATATAGCAGAAACGATAAAGGAGGTGGCATACACCACCTCAGATTTAACTATTTGTAACCCTGAAGATTTAAAGGAGATTTATGGTCACAGCATACCCTTTAAAATGATAACATCAACCATTGTTTGCATTGCTATTATTCACCATCCAATATATGCTTACTTGAAAACTCTTCTTTTAGGTTGTGAGTGCTGGCCATCTTTCCCTCAACTTCCTGGATTCCATGCACACTTTGCAGCTTCTCCTCTGCCTTTTACTTTTTCTTCTAAGAACTACATATCCCATGATACCTTGCTGCATGCAAGCAGGGATTCCTGTACTGACTCCACCTCCTGAAACTCCTCCTCTTAGCATTTCTGTAGATCAGAAAGCAGGCCCTGTGAAATGTGTGACACAGCAGTGCCTACTCACAGGGGATAGTGACTACATGTCACAGAAGGAAAACATTTGTAGGGATCTTCACAAAGTAAATTTACAAACTTTAAGATTGTTCAGATTAATAGGTGTTGGTTTGAAATAATAAATTCTGGAAATTAATATATGATTTTACAGTTTGACTATAGGTACGGTTTTAAAAAAAAGTTGTGTTTTTTTTTTTCCCTGAAGTTCTTTGTTAAGAGAAAAAAACAATTCCCTACAGGCAAGCTCTGTATGTTGCATGTGAAGGTCTAAAGGAATAACAAAACTTGCAGTAAAGGCATCCTTTTAAAGGCTGTAATACTTTTTTTTTCTCCACTCATCATAGAGATCTTTGCTATGTGGCCTACTGGTAGCTAGAAGTCCCCTGACTGGGCTCACAGGCACACTGCGATCCAATGGCAGGCCATTCACTGTAACCAACCATTGTATTATTAACAGGTCTCAGGACTACTTTTGTGAAGCATGTGGAACAAGCATGAAGTCTGCTTTACTCCCACTAAGTTCAGAATCCAGCCAAGATGACAGAGAAGCCAGAGAACTTGCAAGACAGATCAGTTTTACGGTACATGAGCCATGACGTGTCTTTTCTCTTGCTGTACATATATCACTTCACTGCTTTTTCTGGGGTTTAAAGATAAAGAATGCAAGTGCTCCACTGCATCGGGGGGGGGGGGGGGGGGGGGGGGGGGGGGGGCAGTGCCAGTGTCCAAAAAATGTTCTATACCACAGCCAGCTTTTGAGAAAATAAATCTGTCATCAGGGCAAATAAAAACATATTTGTTAAAAATTGGCATAAAATATAATTTTAAAAATGTGTAGAGATCATTTTTTTCCCCCCAAATCATCTAGAACAACACATGAGATAGTTACCTCTTCCAACAGGAACAGGAAATGCTTAATCAAAAACAATTTAAAATGAAGTCCTTGTGCTAAATAAGTCAGTCATTGTGTTTCCTCCAGCCTGGAAGAGATGCATTGCTTGGTACCTGAAGAAGGGGGTTGAGATAAGGGTTCTTAGCTGCAGTCTTCTACCCACCCCCTTGTCTTATCCTTCTTGACTAACATGGGGGCATCCTTGCCCTACAGTCCCTTCCTAATTTTGGGGAGAAGTGGTCTGGGTCCACTCCCTTTTCAGTGCCTGAGGAAGTCCAGTAATAGGAGGTAACTTTATCCCCTTGGTGGACTGGCCTATGCTGATATGGTTCCCTGGTGGAAGCTGAGGAAACATCCCTGCAGGGGATGAGTCAGGCAGGGTTTACTTGACCAGTGGCACCAGGAACCAAGTTCAAGAAGGGTATTGTTGCAGCGGTGCCTGGTTCTGGGGCTGCAGGAGTGCAGTCAAGACTTCCTAAAGGTTTTCTTTAATAGATATGCAAGAATTCTACATACTTACAGTATCTCTCATATGCAGAATAAGCTCATGTTTGTATGTAATACCAGAGCCAAATAGATGGCTCAATAAAATTCTTAATAACCCTTTTTGGGGTTGAGCTGCACAGACTTTGGAAGCTTATGTACAGTGTGTCCTTAGTTGACAAGATCGTACTATGTTTTGGTCTTAATATTGGATTATGTATTTATTTATCGATTTCGTCCTGTATAACTCACGTCCTCAACTTTTTTTCCCCCCCTATAAGGCATAGACTTTTTCCCTTGTGCACATTAAACTTCTGAGTTGCAGCAACTTTGGAATAGTGTGTGTGTGTCTTTAGTATCTTGTTTTCTGGTTGAGAGAAGTGACCTTTTTATGTGTGGGCATCTGTGGAGGATTACTACCACTGGCACCTACATAAGGGAAATAGCAGAACTAGTTGTACTCTCCCTTATTTCATGGTTTATGTTTAGTTCTTTTTTTTTTTTTAGTACTTTGACACTTTCAAAATATAAATGACCTTTGACTTGTGGTAATACATTATAATTGTTTTGTATCTTCTTCATGATCATCTACAGGTAAACCCCCCAGGAAATTCTCAAGCAGAAGGAAGTGACAGCACACCAAAACCACCGGAAACAGAGCAGAATACTGACACGGTGCCTCAGGTATGATTCCCCTAATTTTTTACTACAGCTGTGTTTTTATCACGGGGTCTTACCTATATTATATAAGCAAAATAAATAAGGCCACCAGACTACTTTATACCTAACATAAGTAATGTACACACTGGCAGGGTAGTTCAAGCACAGTACAATACTACAAGTACCCTAGAACACTTACTTGCTAGCCAGCAAAATCAAAGTCTAAGCTGTTTCAAAATTTTTCATTGAAAACGGACATTTCCCAAGTTGTCCTCCAGCTCACACGAGATAGGCTCTGCCCCCTTACAGAAAAAGAAAGTTGTGAACATCCTGCTCAAAAGTAGAAAGAGTTACAAGGTTACAATTTACCTGAAAACTTGGAAAGGATACCCATCCTGGGCCTCATTTGTCATTTGTTGTGCAATCCTGGCGATCTTGGATATCCCACAGAATAGGGACAATGAGGGCTTTCCATGAGCATGCTAAAAGTCCATACAACAGCTTTGTCAGTATATCTTGACCAATCCCTAGCATCTCACTCAGCCATCAAATGTTTAGCATTGTCTGATATACATTCTTGTAATGTCCTGTCTATTTGATCCTATGAACTATCTTTAGTTCTCACAGTTTCCATGAAGCATTCCTCCTAAAGTCACCTAGTCCCCTTTCAGGTGTAGGGAAACACCATAAGCCTGACACAGCTTAAATGGCAACTCAAAAGGCCTCTGCAGAGATACAATCAAAATAAAAATGGCCATCACTCAGTTCAGCTTATACCTTCCATAAGTAATGTGCACATGGGCAGGGCAGTTGGTAAAGCAGTATAATACTATGCAATACCACTATAACCTCTTTAGCTCCAGAAGATTTTATCCCCTTCATGACCAATTTAACTGGTAATTGCACGGTCATGCAATGCTGTACCCAAATTCAATTTCTATCTTTTTTTTTTCCACACAAATTGAGCTTTCTTTGGTGGTCTGTAGTACCTCCGCACACTAACTACTGAATACTAACTTCCAAAACCCCTTAAAGAAAAGTAAAACTTTCACCCTTGAAAGTTGAATAAATATAACCAACCTCCTCTTTTGCATAAAGAAAATCACTCCTATCCCAATGCCAACATAATCAAAAATTAAAAATAAAAAACAAAAATAAAAATTATAAAAAAAATATATATATGATATATATAAATAAATAACATCCAATAAAATTTCCCAAAAATAATGTCCAAACTATATCTATAATAAAGTGTCTTTCCAAAATCCAATCAGATTCAAAATGTCACTCTTTCATGATCCAGTGTGGTAATTCCAATAGTCTTAACATTCTCCCTGAACCTCAAAAAAATAAACTTATAGTGTATTACCTTCTAAATTTGAGTACACTAAAATACATAAACACAAGTGTGAGCAAACAGTGTATCATGCAAACTGCATAACGTGTACACTCTAATCACACGTGAATACAAAAAAACCCCAAAAAAACTATATACCGTATTTTCCGGCATATAAGATGACTTTTTACCCCTTGAAAATCGTCTCAAAAGCCGGGGGTCGTCTTATACGCCGGTATAAAAAACGGCATGCTGACACTTTTTAGGGCGGTGGCGCCAATGATGGGGCACTATTCCTCGCCCCCCCCCCCCACTGACACCAATGATTGGGCACTATTCCTCCACCCCCCACTGACACCAATGTTGGGATACTATTCCGCCCACTGACACCAATGATGGGGCACGATTCCTCCCAGTGACACCAAAGATGGGGCACTATTCCCCCCACTGACACTAATGATGGGGCACTATTCCTGCCACTGATACCAATGATGGGGCACTATTCCTCCCACTGACACCAATGATGGGGTGCTATTCCTCCACTGACACCAATGATGAGACACGATTCGTCGCTCTGACACCAATGATGGGGCACTATTCCTCCCACTAATACCAATGATGGGGCACTATTCCTCTCACTAATACCAATGATGGGGCACTATTCCTCCCACTAATACCAATGATGGGACACTATTCCTCCCACTGACACCAATGATGGGGCACGATTCTTCCCACTGGTGTGCATTGGAAGAGGGGTAGTCTGATACGGCGAGTATAGCCCAAACACTACATTTTAACAGGAAAAGTAGGGGGTTGTCTTATACGCCCAGTCGTCTTATACGCCGGCAAATACGATATATATATATATATATATATATATATATATATATATATATATATATATATATCAATAAATAAATTCACGTATATATAACCAACTTTAATGGCATCCCAGTCTTAGTCTGTAGACGAAAAGGTCTGGCTTGCAATCTCTGCTCTAATTCATCCCAAAGGTGTTCTATCGGGTCGGCTTGTGCAGGTCAGTCAAGTTCCCTCACCCCAAACTCGCTTATCCATGTCTTCATGGACCTTGCTTTGTGCACTGGTGCGCAGTCATGTTGGAACAGGAAGGGGCCATCTCCAAACTGTTTCCACAATGTTGGGAGCATGAAATTGTCCAAAATGTCTTGGTATGCTGACGCCTTAAGAGATCCCTTCACTGGAACGAAGGGGCCAAGCCCAACCCCTGAAAAACAACCCCACACCATAATCTCTGCTCCACCAAACTTTACACTTGGCATAATGCAGTCAGGCAAGTACCATTCTCCTGGCAACCTGCCGAACCGAGACATGTCCATCAGATTGCCAGATTCATCACTCCAGAGAACAAGTCTCCACTGCTCTAGAGTCCAGTGGCGGTGTGCTTTACACCACCGCTTTGCATTGCACTTGATGTAAGGCTTGGATGCAGCTTCTCAGCCATGGAAACCCATTCCATGAAGCTCTCTATGCACTGGTGTTGTGCTAATCTGAAGGCCACATGAAGTTTGGAGGTCTTTAGCTATTGACTCTGTAGACAGTTGGCGACTTCTGCGCACTTTGCGCTTCAGCATGCGCTGTTGCTCCCAGTTGCTTCCACTTTGTTATAATACCACTAACAGTTGAGCGTGCAATATTCAGTAGCAAGGAAATTTCATGGATGGACTTATTGCACAGTTGGCAACCTATCACAGTACCACGCTTGAATTAACTGAGCTCCTGAGAGTGACCCATTCTTTCACAAATGTTTGTAGAAGCAGTCTGCATGCCTAGGTGCCTGATTTTATACACCTTATACAATCCAATGATTTGGAGGGTGTTCCAATACTTTTGGCAATATAGTGTATGTGAATATGTCACATACAGTGCATCCAGAAAGTATTCACAGTGCTTACCTTTTGCCACATTTTGTTATGGTACAGCCTTATTCCAAAATGGATTCAATTCATTTTTTTCCTCAACATTTTACAAACAATACTCCATAATGACAACATGAAAGTAGTTTGTTTTGAAATCTTTGCAATTTATTGAACATAAAAAAAGAAAAAAAAACACATGTACGTAAGTATTCACAGCCTTTGCTCAATACTTGGTTGATTCACCTTTAGCACCAATTACAGCCTCAAGTCTTTTTGAGTATGATGCTACAAGCTTGGCACACCTATTTTTTGGCAATCTCTCCCGTT